ACTGTGTCTGATATTTAGATGCGGAGTCGGTAGATAAATCGGTTATTGGTTTAAATTTCTAATATCTTTGAAACGCGATTGATTTAAATTGTGTAATTTACAGAAAAGTCCTATCTTTACATGCTTTATATAATGTAATAAAAGAAACAAAAACATCTTTTTTTAATTTTAGTTAGTCTGAACTTATCAAAAATACGCCATATATGACTTTAACAATTAAGCTGGGGAGTGCCTATGATTTTAAGTCAAAGTCGAGCTTCCATACTATGTTTGATTATACGGAAAAATTACCGTTTACCGAATCTGTTCTGTAACAACGTGTACTTCATTTCATCCGGTGTTTTGCAGAACGAGGAGGCAAATCCCCAAGTTATTGAAAAAGCACGTTGGAAATTTATCAAATGTTGTATTTGGACCACCTGTCAAACATCTCCATACAACAGAAGAATCTTTGGAATGCTCAGCGCCCCAGACGCAGCGCTTTTATACTTGTATGCTTTTATTTTTGTATGTGAGTATTTTTAATAATGCAACGGTGAATTTGTCGAGAAGTAACTTTATAAAGTTACATGATTGTGTATACATGTATATAGCGTAATTAAGATATTGCGCTGGACCTGTTGAAATGCCTTCTTATTATCATCAAAAACTCCCTAAGATAAAAATAGCTTTATGATTTTAATTGATTTTATAAGTGTTAAAAAGTAATTAATGCACATCCACAGGTCTCAGAAAAGGACTATTCTTGTTCTTGAGGATAAATAACACAAACCAAAAATTTGATGCATGGATTGGTATATATTTTTGGGCTGATTTTGAATAGAAAAGACTTAAATATGAATTCCTAAAATATAAGAGATTGTAAATTGTAAGTTTTTCTTGGTTATCAATTATGCAAATTTGTGTCATTTTCTGCATAAATCTATACATCATATAACTGATATCTGAAAAAAATATATATATATTTGTGTTATTTATCCTGAAGTTTTATTCGTATTACTTATCATATTTGCATTTGTCAATTCATACCTGCACGTACCTTTCATTAAACCTAATACATATCACAATGTCTATAAGCCTGTTTTGTTACCAAAGGTCAAAGCTGCACATTCATGATCATATTGGCTAATTTAGCAGCTATGTTGGTAGATATCTAGCTCTATATTGATCAGACAGCATGAGCCGCTAGGTGTTAGAAATTAATTTGCATGCAAATATTTCTTAATAATAGTATTTTTTTTTCATTAAAATAAGCTGAGATGAAGAAAACAACACCCTATTTCTTGTATGTTGTATGATGCAAAGTGGTAACTTGGGAGGCCATCTTGGATTTGGTACTTAGCACAAAATATTTTATGCTAGCTTTCCCTTTAAAGTAAATGTTAATTGCAATTGCATATAAATTACTAAATCATATATTCTGTAAGTTTGGTAGGAGATTTAGTCATATGAAAGCATACAGTTCCGAGTTCACTAATTAACACTGCAGTACATGTATCTTGGTATATTTGTTGTCCAAGATGTCTGGTTTCTTCACACACACACAAACTCACACGCACCCTCACACACTATGAGGGGTAATCAAAAAGTTCTTGAACTATCTCTATATATTTACAAAACCGCTATTCAGATCAGAATGAAACATACTCGAGCAACGAACGGCTGTAAAGTTTAACATACATCTTGGAAATTCCTTTGCAGTAGCATATAATAATTTGTACAGGGTTTATGACAACAAAAGACTTGCCAGAAGTTCAGTCATTAATTAGATTGATTGATTTAGTGAAGGAAGGGAGGTGACTAAAAATGATGTTTGTTCTGGTTCCCAGTGAAAGTAAGCTGGTGAAGAGATGTGTCCTTCGATAGTTGAGCAATTTGTTAGGAAAGATCACCAAGCGACAGATAGAAATAAAGTTGTATATCTTAAGAATATCATAATCATTAAATGCCTAAGTTATGTTTACTAAACATACCAGATCTGATAATAATCTTTATTCACAATGGAAAATGATGCACCAAAGACAGATGGTCAATATGCTCATTTTGGGAAAAAGATATCCTTATCCATCCATCCTATTGCCAAGATTTGGGCATTTGTGACAAATAGATTATTCTTGTTTTAAAAAATAACTTGCAGCATAAGAAATATAAGACTCGGAAAAAATCTTTTAGCTTCTGTGAACAGAACGCTAGGGAGTATGTCACGTGACCGCCTGGATCATGTGATTTGTGCATTGGTAGAACAATGGCAGATGTGCATTAAAATCGGAGAGGACTACTTTAAAAAATAATAAACACTGAAATCTAATTTTATTCCTTTTATGGAAGTTATTCAATTAGTTCGCGAACCTTTTGATCACCCCTCGTGACTTGATCATGATTAATTGTAAAAGTCTGACATTTTAAAATTTGTCCTAGCTTCTGTTACTTTCATTCAGGATGTCTTTAACATTATTTGCACTTCCCATTCACCTTTTTACTTTGTAAATTTATTATATTATATAATATATTGTACAATACAATTTTTAAAGTTATTTGGAATTATTTCTTAGCATGCATGAACAGTGGTGATGTTCAATTCCATAATGTCCTAGTAAAATTTTTTTGAGGTATATTCCATTAATTTCCTGTTGGCTGTCACAGCCTTATAAAATTTTGGAGAAATTATTTCTCTCTGTTAGCTTTTATCAAGCAACTTTCCTGGCTAGCTATATTTTGGATGGAATCAAATTTTGGCCTCTGACTTTCAATACTGGAATTATAAAAGCCTATAATTAATTTTTAAAACACTCCAAAATAGATAAATTTCATGATAAGATGTCATGTTTACATTCATTCAATGACACTTTATTTGTTTAACACAGCTAGAATTTAAACATGCACTCACACTGACCCTAAGCCTAGAGAAAACCTTTTGACAATCTTATGTCCACCTTGTGTGAAATAAAAAGTGGAAAGAATTTGATAACTTCTTCTTTAAAATACTTTCAAATTAAGACACTTTAAGTTTCATGTTTCATGCTTAGTTTTAGATGACAATTTTATTTATTTTTAATATATATATATATATATATATATATATATATATATATATATATATATATATATATATATATATATATATATATACAGAGTTGTCCCTAAGACCCAGGGGCCGGGGAATTTCCCCATCTATAAAGACCTTATCCCCTGGTTATTCTGGTATTCCCCCTCAACTTTGTTAGGGGAAGAATCCCAGAACCCTTTCTACTTTTTTAATGTTCCCTCCTGTTTCAATTCTTAAGGACAACCCTCTCTCTCTCTCTCTCTCTTTTTCTCTCTCTCTATATATATACATGTATATATGTATGTATGTATGTACACATCAGATGTTTAAGTATATTCTTGGGGTTACACAACTTTCATCTTAAGTGCACTCAGATGACCGTGACCTTGAGGTTATCTTGTGTGTCATGTGGATTTTAAAAGTTGAACTCAAGACCCCAAATTAAAGTAGATGTGGTCCAGTTTATTTACACATGAGGTTAAAAAGCCCTTGGATGTTTAATTCATGTGGAAAAAAACTTAACTACGGCATGTTAATAACAGGGGCACAGTGGAAAAAAAAATATATTTAAAAAATCATATACCAATTAACTACTAGGCAGTTTTAGTGGTTGGTTTATGATTTCCTAGACAGTCAATACTTCAATCCAGGAGCAAGCCCCTGTGATTAACATATTCTTGTTGTAGTTAAGATTTTGTGTTAATTTAACGAGATAAACAAATTTCAATTGAGAGAAAAGAACATCAGAACAGTCATACCTTTGACTCCTAAGGATTAGGTGTATATGTTATTCAATAGAATTCAAATCATAGTGATAAAAGTAATGGTAATAAGAAAATAAATTACGAACAGAGATACATATATTATACATGTACAATGTATCTATATCTCTTGAGAATTAAGCAAAGAAATCTGCCTCTTAATTGCTTGTGTTGGATTAACATGATTAAATTTGGTATGAAGTAATTAAAACTAATTTGATATTGTATAATATATTTTTCTTATTTTAATTTTAATATCTTTACAACAAATTGCAGAGTGTCATATGTCTCTCTAAGATTTCAAGTTTATAGAATAAAGAATAAACGCAATGATAAGTGTTTTGATGTTTTATTAGGCTGTATGTAGTATTGTTAATCATTCATAGAGTGTATAAAGGAACATGTGTCACCTGCTTTATCATGTTTAAAGCATCATTAAAGATAACAATAAATTGAAGAGTGGCCAGTTATTTATTTGCTGCTAGCATTATCATGATTTATAATAGCAAAGAAAAAATCCACGAATAATAAGACTAATAGAATATAGCATTTATCATGTAAAATCTGACATTAAAATGATTCCCCAACCTTCAAAGCTGGAGTAAAAAATGTACCTACACCACAGGAGACGTACATCAAACATTATAAGGAACGGAAAAATCATTAAAAACATGCACTCGGACTGTTATGATAATTCATGAACAATATTTGACAGGTGTATATCATGCACTGTGGCTGCACACTTTATTTGTTTTCTATTTGAGTATTTTCCTACATGTATGTACCATTATATATTCAGACAGCTGTATTTCATTTTATAACCATGCAGACTTGTGCATGTTTCCTATTTACCTGGTTTTCCTTCACAATTTGAAAATGAATCAATATGAAGTACCAGCTGCTATCATAGATTACCCATGGCAAGGGTCACTCAATTAATCTTTAAGGTCAGTTTAGCACTCTGTATACAAACTGAATACAATGTAGCTATAATTCACGTTGAAATATAATTATTCTGCATGCAGAAGTTCACAAAGGACATAAATGAAATATGAATGGTACATATGTGTATGATCTAGGTCAGTGTCACTAGCTTTCACTAACCCAGTGTTCAGGAAATTCTAATAAATTCCAACTTGTCATTTCAGGACTTAATCGTTAGACGTGCTGAACCTTTGTTACCTCTCATTGCATTATGGCCAGATACTCGGGGAAATCATGTCGTTTGTTGACCATGCTGTCCCTGACGGCCTTCTTCTTCCTGGTGGAGATCATCGTGGGCTACATCACAAACTCCATTGCTCTGGTAGCAGACTCTTTTCACATGCTGTCTGATGTCTTGGCACTCAGTGTGGGCTTTGCCTCTGTTAGAGTGAGTGTTGTTGTAATGAATAGATATCTCTACTTGTATTTTTATAATGTGGAAAAAGGAATTTTTTTAAAGGTGTGACATTTTCTACAAGGGACTTTTGGAATATATGTAAATATTACCAGAATTTGAAAATTTTCAAGAATTCAGTAAGCATTTTTTTTTCAGGAAGTGTCTAATATGTTCAATAATAATAATTAATTAATTAAACGTTCTTGAAAAAGCTAGTTCTAGTGGAATAATTGGGAATTAAACCTTTTTTTTGAAAATTATTTGATTTTGAAGTATTGACCTCTATGTAATAAAAACAACACTGTAATGTTTTGCCTTCATGATGAATTCCTTTCTCAATTTTGTCAGGTATCAAAATTGCATACCGAGAAAAACACCTTTGGTTGGATCCGAGCAGAAGTTCTTGGAGCTTTAGTGAATTCTGTCTTCCTTGTTGCTCTTTGTTTTACCATTTTGATAGAAGCTCTGAAGAGATTAGTGGACAGTGAGGAAGTGACCAATCCTAAGCTCCTTCTAATTGTGGGTGGGGCTGGCCTCGTTGTCAGCACCATCGGATTGTGTCTCTTTTATGACCATGGTAAGGGATGAAATAGTTCTTGTCAAATATAATTATACAGTTAAACTTGTCTAATCTGGACACCACTGGTTCCAAAGAAATTGGCCAGATTAGACATCATTCCGGATTAGACAATATTTTAAACTGTTCACTTTACTGTAAGGGACTTAAAGTTTATACAGTATTAGACAAGATTTCAGATTACACAACATCTGGATTAGGCAATTTTCACTGTACGTCAGTTGCAAGGAAAATATCACTGTTCAGTGTGAAATAGATCTTTGTGCCAATACCTTAGTGATAAATTCAGCTGTCAGATATGGGAGAGGTATTCATCAGAAATCTTGATGAAAGATTCATAAGCAGTATCAAATGATTCACTTTAATATTTTAATTTGAATTTCGATACAATTTTGATAGTTATTTACTGAAAAATTGAAGGAGTACATTCAGCAAAATTATCAGTTATCCTAATTTGGAATATTTATAAGCAAACGGCATACATATCGCATGGTTTGAAGTATGCAATTACCTGAAAAAGATCCCCTGTAAAAACATGAGGGAAAGTTTAGGTATACTGGAAATACATGTAATTATAAGCGAACAGCTTAGCTTGGTTTGAAGTATGTGGTAAAAGGAAAAAGATCTAGTGTAAAAGTATAATGGAAAGTTTAGATACATGTATACTGTAGATCGAAGTAAATGTGCAGTGGGTTCCTGCCACACTGTAACATATTCATACTCTAATAACCTCTAATGATGATTGATGTATGTTGATTTAGCATTGAAACTAATTATGTATACAAGGTCAAATGTGAAAGTGATTGTGCTTATATGCACTCATTGTTAGACCTCATGAATATTCATGATGGTAGATCATTTTGTCCTGTTTTCAGTTGTGCCCAAACCACGATAGTAAATTAAGTGGTCCCTCACCAATCATTCAACCATGCATGGAAATCGGTAATCGGTATACATAGTACAGTCTCTTTGATAGACAAATGATTTTAGAGAGAAATTTACATCTGCAATTAGAAGGGTGCCTGGGGGATCTATAGGATAAGAAGAAGGAGGGATATCATCATGATTATTTGTATATTAAATTTACAAGCTGCTGCTACTACTCCTCTAACTTCCACACTTAAAAAAATGTAATGAAGCTACCAAAGTATTCAATTTTTTTCTTCAGTATATTTCCTTAATAGTTAGAATATATAACATATTTACCTCTGAACATTTAACTTCTCAGGTCACAGGTGTGGAGGTCATAGCTATGGGAGAGGTCACGGTCACAGTCATGGGGGTGGAGCCGAGGAATTAGAGCTGTGTGATCAGGAAGAAAGCAAGGAATTGGTCAAGAGAACAACAAAAGTAACAACAACCAATGGAATGGCCAGGCTGCAGCTAAATAACCCCAAATGTGGTTGGTACCAAAAAGAAATTTGCTCTATTTGAAGGGGAAAAAAATTAAAAACCAAAATGTCTAATTCATTCAAAAGTTGCAGTAAATGCAAATCTGGAAATATGGATTTCTTAAATTCTCTAATTATGTGTATAGGAATGCAATGAGATTTTAAACAGCAGAGTGATGTTTCTGTTAAATTAGAGATTGAGATGAAGAACAAACTTTGTAAGATCTACTTTCACTTTATTCCTAGCATACTGCCAGCACTAGCTGCAATAATGTAGCCCTCTCCGATTTTTTTTTTTAAAAATCGGAGAGGGCTACATTATTGCAGCTATGCCAGCACTTACCTCTTAATAGTGTATCTCAGTTCTTGATGAGGTTTTTAATTAGAGTTGTATACTAGCAGTAGATTTTTTAATAAAAGCGGTATGAGGGAGATTGAGTAAAAAAGCGGTAGACTTCCGCGTTAGAGTTAACATGTTTTGTAGAAAGGGAGTGTAGACTATGTTCTTTTTGCTAAAATATTACAGCATACCACATTTTATCATTTAGCTGGGAAGAATTTCTTTCTGACTTCATTTTTAGGTTTGATTAAGAAGTAGTTTTTCACTAGAATGCTTTCAGTAAAATTAAATTGTTGACACACTCAGATGTCTTTGCATAGATGACACTGAAACAAAGTACATGTATTTGGTTTTAAAACTTTTCCAGATGATTAGAAAATAGGGACACAAGTTCGAATTATGACGAAAAAGTAGCTTTAGGTCACAATGGCAATCTAGAATCTCTTGTATCAATAGCTTTCTTTGAGTAGTGAAAATGTTCATATCTGACTGTGTATGTGATTCGATGTGCTGATATTTTATTTCCTTTTAACAGCTTCCAGTTCCCAGCTGAACATGAGGGGGGTATTTCTACATGTCTTGGGGCATGCCTTAGGGTCAGTCATTTTGATAATAAGTGCCTTTATTATTTGGCTGTGCGAGGGGGACTGGAGATTCTATGTGGATCCCGCCATGAGGTAATTTATCATACGGAGGAAGAAATTACAGATCTGTACATGCTGAAAAGCATCACAATATTTTTGTGTACGGTATAAAGGGTTATTTTTGCCCTTCACACTTCAAACAATTTTGCCCCATTTTAAATTCACTCAATCACAATTCTGTTTATTAAGTTATACTGTTTTTTGAATTCGCTCGTTGTCTTTCTCTTAGGTCTCAGCTAAAAAACAATCTTTAAATCATTAATAGAGGGAACCTGTAAAATTCGTCCCCACAAGAAAACAAACAAAACAATGGAGATTTATTTTTTTATTGTGTGTGTGTAGTATGTCATCAAAAAATGGTGTATATGTAATGAGCCTCCTTATTGATCTTTGTTGTTTTTAACGTAAGACCAGTAGTATATGATGATATGATGATTTTGTTACAGCATAATGATGGTAGTGATTATCATAGGAACAACTGCTCCACTCTGTAAGTATATATAAAGAAACATTTTCTCAAGTCAAGGGTTTCTGATCCACTCCGCTCCACATAAACAGGGTTTTTGATCCACTTCGCTCCATTTGAACAGGGTTTTTGATCCACTCCACATTAACAGGGTTTTGTATCCACTCCGCTCCACATAATCAGGGTGTCTCCACTCCATTCCACATATACAGGGATTATGTGGAGTGAAGTGGATCAGAATCCGTTAACTTGGGAAGATGGCACAGAAACTGATCAATTAAGTTTTGCAAGATAAAAAATGTTATGACATGGCAACATGATCACATATAGTTTCCTTTTTTTTGTTTTTTAAATGCTTTTAAGATAAAAATTGTCTCCAATCTTTCTTTTCAGTGAAAGAATCAGGTTTTATCTTGCTACAAAATGTTCCATCTCATATAAATCTCGAAGCAGTTAGAGAAAAATTGGCAAAGGTGAGAAATGGAAAAAAGTCAAGGGTTTATTTCCTCATTTTAACTTCAAGTACAGTCAAACCTCGTTATCTCGAACTAGATGGGACTGAGAATTTTTTTTTAGATATCTGAGGGTTCAAGATATTGAGGGTAAAATACTTTTTAAAAAGTGCTTAGGACTTCCAAATCACTGACAATATAATCCACGGTATTCAAGATATCCATGTTTGTGATACAGAAGTTCAGCTGTAGTACCATCTCAGCAGCAATATTCCTCATGGCTTAGAAGATCTGATCTTAGAATTTTCTTCTGAAGGGAACTGAAAAAGAAGAAATAATACTTAATATCTCATGTATGTAAATATTGAGGTGTGCCTTGATCAATATATGGTTTAATATTTCAACAGGTTGAAGGGGTAGTAGCAGTTCGTGAACTCCATATTTGGCAGTTAGAAGGCAGTAAGATCATAGCCTCAGGTCATGTAACATGCGATGATTTATATGATTACTACACTATATCAGTGACAGTTAAAGAGATTTTCCGTAACGAGGGAATCTATTCCGCTACCATCCAACCTGAGTTCTTACAGGTAAGAATGCACAGTTTACAATTCAATGCACATGAGCTAAATAACTTAATGGGCTTTAAGTAAATAAATGCAGTTTGGCATGTAAAAATTTAATTCATCTTCTTTCTTCAAAAGGATTGCCAGTTGTAGGAGGCCTTGGGTTATAAGAGTTTATCTGTATCAAACTTAATAGTTTCTGTTAATTAAGTACATAATTCTTTGTTGTTAAAGTTATAGGAGACAGTCACATGAGAACAACATTTGCAGATATGGAGATGTAGGATTTCTAATCAAAATATGATCCCCCTTGACACAACAAAATTCTGTAGTTAATACAGTTTAACTTGGCTTTATAGAAACCACCTGAAAATGTCTTAGGGAGACAGATATCTGAGCAGGACTGTATTCTAGAATGTGGACCAGATAAAAATTTCTACCAAGACACATGTTGGCAGAAAAGACAGGACTCGGAAAAGGGTAAAAATGGGGAAAGCCTCACCAGGGAGAGGAGTGAAAAAGGAATGAAGAGAAGCAAATCTGAGCCTCGAAATGTTTCTGTGGAGGATGTCTAGTGCTAGAATAAGTCTTAATTGACTTTCAGTGTCATAGGCACAAGGGATGATATTCCAAAATGTACAATGTATTTTTTAGGTCACCGGAGTCATTTAGAGGACCTGTTGCTATCTGTTTTTGTCCATCATCATCTGTCATCAGTCATCCATTAACATTTTAACATTTTCAGCTTCTTCTCCAGAACCACTGAACCAATTTTAGCTTAAAGCATCTTTGGTCCATCGTGGTCACTGCCCCCACCCCACCCACACCCACAGGGCCTGAGAGGTGGGGCTAAAACCATCATAATTAATGCAATCTTTAAAAGTCTTCTTTACTCCTGGACATGAAAAAATCAAACTGTTGGCATGATTGTGATAAGCATTGAACCCTCTAACAAAATTGTGAAATTCATGGCCCAAAGGGAAGGGTCAGAGATTCTCGAGTTTGGGTAGGGCTCTATTGATTATTTAGTGGAAATGCATCAATTCTTTAAAAAGCTTTTTTCTCTTCCCCTGTATATTTTGCAGATAAACTGAGTGCATGGATATGATGAGAGAAGGTACGTTCTCTAAAATTGTGAAATTCATGGCCCCTGGATCAAGGGTACTGGTTTTAGGGCAGGACTCTATTAATTATTTAGTGAAAATTCAATACATCTTCGAAAATCTTCTTCTCTGCTCCTAGGTATTTAGCAGATAAACTAATTGTGTTATCATAATAAGCCTTTTCCAGAATTGTGAAATTCATGGCCCCTGGGTGAGGGGTTCTTTTGCTAGGGTGGGGCTCTATTGATTATATAGTGAAAATGCATTATTTCTTTGAAAATCTTCCATTCTCCAAGGTATTTAGCAGATAATCGAAGTGATTTATCATGATGAGCAAGGATGCCTCTTCCAAAATTGTGAAATTCATGGCCCCTGGGTCAGGTGTTTTGATGTTAAGGCAGGGCTCTTTTGATGATGAAAATGCATTAATTCTTTGAAAATCTTTGCTCCTGGGTATTTCGCTGATAAACAAAGTGCATAGCAATGCTTGGCAAGGGTGCCTTTTCTAAAATTGTGAAATTCATGGCTCCTGGATTAAGGGTTCTGGTGGTAGGGTGGGACTTTATTGATTATTCAATTCTGTGAAACTTGTTTCTGCTCCTAGGTATTTAGGAGATAATCTAAGTCCAGTTATGATGAGCAAGGGTGCCTCTTCCAGAATTGTGAAATTCATGCCCTCTGGGTCAGAGGTTGTGGTGTAGGGTGGGATCTATTGATTATAAAGTGAAAATGCATTTGTTCGTTGAAAATCCTCTCTGGTCCTAGGTATTTAGCAGATAAATGCATTGTTATGATGAGTAAGTATGCCTCTTCCAAAACTTTGAAATTAATGGACCTTGGGTCAGGGGTTCTGGTGTTACATGTAAGTGGTGGTCTTCTCTGCTCCCTCTAGTGTTTTGCAAGGGTGTTTTTACCAGATTTGTGAAATTCTTGACCACTGAGTTAGGGGTTCTGGTGACTAATTAGTTGATCCCTGATTATTGTTATGCCCCCGGATCGAAAGATCCCGGGGGTATATTGTTTTTTTGCTGTTTATGAGTAACATATTTTTATCGGTAAGTTTATTTTGTTTTATTATATAATTATTAAATTGTCATTTCATTGATCCTTTACAGGGTTATACTATTCTCAGGTGATTATGTTTTACACAAAATTATTTTTTGTGTTATAAGGTTTTAAGCTTTTTCATATTCAATGATCTAGGGCTTTGATAGGGATCTCATCTTGCCAGTGTATAAAGAGTTAATTATGGTATTTAAAGTGCATGTTTGCTCAAGATACAGTTGAACATGCTTAAGTCATGAATAATTTTTGGTCTGAATGCTTCTTAGTATTTTATCAAAGTTATGTTTTACACACATCAGGGCTGTTTATCCTCAAAAAATTGTATAAAAAAATTTTTAGTCTTTTTCTGTAGTTAATGAATGAAAATCTGCAGTTTATACTAAAATGATATTGCAGTGAATTTATTAAGGTCTTCCTTCTCAACGGAAGACCTTCTTATTATTCTGTTGTTTCTTTTCAACTTTTTTTATCAATATTATTCTTACAGATTTTGTGCACGCGATTTCTCATAAATGCATGGATGGATTTTCATGAAACTTTCAGCAATGATGGCAAATTACATGATCTTAAGGCATTTTTTTTATTTTGATGATGTCACTTCCGGTCGCGAGTTATATTTGATTTTCTCTTTTTAAATTGAAATTTTGTCTGTGCCTCTTTTCAAAAACGGTTGAAGATGAAGTCATGAAGTTTTCTGGGATAATAGATCATGATCTGTACATTTGTCTCCGGTGTTTCGTTTTTTTTCGGCGTCACTTCCGTTGTCCACCGGAAGTAGCTTAAAAATATGTAATTTTTGATTTTCTTGATTTTTAAATGTTTATAACATTGACATATGTAGTAATTCAAGTCATTTCATTTCCACCGGAAGTTGTACTTTTAAACCGGAAGTTGTCCAAAAAATGAATATTTTTCATCCAAACTTTCAGGAAAGATTTGTACACACTCATTGTAGAGTTTTAAGTCGTTTTGAGCACTTCCTGTCATACCGGAAGTGAATTTAAAAGAACCGGAAATGGATTGAAATTAAAAGATATCACTCTTTCATGTGTTTTTAAACATATTTTGATTAATTCAATGGCCTATTTTATTCAATTATACTTGTTCTTCCTTCTTTTTTTTCTTTTTTTCTTTTTTTTTTTTTTTTGAGTAAATCTATCACAGTCAACATCGCAAATCGGATGGAAGACCTACTCGTTGCTTTGCAACGAGCTTTGCTCTAGTTTGTTAGTATTTTTGCAGATTCATTGGTCTTTGAAGGTACCAGGGTTATATATTATTTTAATAATACACTGTACTATGTATTATGCTTTTAAACTATATGTATTAGCAGCTTATTTTTTAAACTTGACAATCGCATTACCAACAATAGAAATTCTTGTAATATTGCTTTAATATTTTCTTCAAACATCATAATTTTTAAGCGGAGAGGTTGTATACCATGTTTTATTTCATATTCTTGTGTAGGACAGTATTTTGTCATTTTCACCAATATTTTTTTTTATTTTTTTTTTTTAGAGAATTACATGTAATACCTCATTCAAGTGGACAGATTATTCTGTTCAAATTATTTTTGAATAACTGTTATACAGTATAAAACCTTCTAATGTTTTTTCTTACGATGTCCTTTCAAGCAGAATGTTTAGGAGATGGAGCACTTATGAGACAAGTGTACATATCCTACAACTTATCTGTACTTTTAGAAATGATTATATAGTGTATTTAACTGTGACTCAAGGCCAGTTCACACTTTGGTCAAGTAGGCTGGAATTTACTTGACCTGGACTTATTATACTCCGCACAAATGAAGTTTGGGGGGGGGGGGGTATTGGAATCAGCATGTCCGTCTGATCTAGACATGATTTTGTCCAGACCTGTTCTCGTAGACTATTGCATGGATTTGTTTGAAAATTTGTACACTGATTATTTACTATATGAAGGTGTGCACCTGATATTTTTCATCATGATTGGATAAATTTTCTGCATTTTACAGGTCATTTTTATTGACTTAGTCATTTTTGGTTCATGTAGGTTTGAGACAGAATCTAGAACTGCCATTTGGTACATCTTTAAAAAAAATGTGAATTGCTGCTTAAAACTACTCATTAAAACTCAAAAAAAAAAAATCACCAAATATTGAAAAAAATTCTGGTAGAATAAGATGTACAAATTTAAGAGTCATGCAGTAACCTTATTAATAAATGTTGCATCAAGATTACACAGTTCTTTTTATCTCATTATATAAAGCTTTGTATCAAATAAAAAAAAATCTTTGTTTTCAACAGAATGACATAAAGATGCATTTTCTATTGTACTAAGACTCATAAGTGCATTACACAGCAGATAGTGTAAATCCATTTGTCCCTTGGGAGTAATGAGTGGACATGCATCCAGTTAAAGATTAATTAATGAGTTCAATGTGGGAAGCTGTTAGAGCATATCTGATCTAGCAGGTGTTATCTATATCTCTTGGGAATTGGGCAGAAGAATAAAAAATCTCTGTTCTGTAACTCTCTTAATTGTAATTTATAGTCTGTCAAATTAAAGTACATAGATACTGAATGATCAGCCTTTTATTTTTAGAATGAATTTGGTGTAAAATTATCAAGATTAATGTGATATTGTATAATATGATTTTTTTTCAGCAAACAAATTGCAGACTGTCATGTCTCACAAAGATGACAGATAGTTTCAATTTATTTTTTTCAATCCGATAAAAACACAATATAATTATTAGTATTGATGTTTTATTAGGCTGTGCCTTAGTTCATCTTTCATTAAAAGATATTTTTCAATCTAAGTGTTTAAACAAATTGTGAACACCTCTTAGATACATAAAAAATATGTGTTGTGACTTGGCACCTGTTCTGAAAAACCTAGCGGGGGTTTTTGCATATTTTAGACAGTTCTAGATGATTTTGGAATTTGATTCTGATTGAAATAAAAGTATGAAAAGTTCAAGCACAAGTCTCCACAAATTTATATATTATATAAGTTTGATGTTGTCTTGAAACAAATTGTATATTATATAAGAGTTGTTTGATGTTATCTCAAAATGACTCAGAGTCATGATGTTAAAGTTTATGTAACAAGAATTGATTACTGATGTAAATCCTGTTATGGTTAAGAATTGTCTGATGTAATCCCACTATGGTTAGGAATTGTCTGATGTAATCCCAAGATGATAAGGATTTGTCTGATGTAATCCCAATATGGTTAAGAATTGTTTGATGTTATCCCGATATGGTTAGATATTGTCTGATGTAATCCCAGTATGTTTAGAAGTAGTATGAAGTAATACCAAGATGATTAGGAATTGTCTGATCTAATCCTAGTATGTTTAGAAATACTCTGAAGTAATCATAAGATGATTAGGAATTGTCTGATGTCTGATGTAATTCCAAGATGAGTAGGAATTGTCTGATATCCAAGGTTGATTAGAAATTGTCTGATAATCCTAAAATGGTTTGTCTGATTGAGTCCCTGTATGTTAAAAAAAT